TTCTCAGTCTTTAAAAGAGAAATTGTGGGGGCTGGGGATGTGGCTCAAGCGGTAGCACGCTTGCCTGGCATGCATGCGGCCCGGGTTCGATCCTCAGCACCACGTACAAACGAAGATGCTGTGTCCGCCCAGAACTAAAAAATAAATATTAAAATTCTCTCTCTCTCTCTCTCTCTCTCTCTCTCTCTCTCTCTCTCTCTCTCTCTCTCTCTTTAAAAAAAATAAAAATAAAAAAATAAAAGAGAAATTGTGGGGACACTGCAAAAGCGTTACCTTTCTTGGGGTAATTTCTAAATAGAGTAGAAAGTCAAAAATAAAACAAGATGGTAGAGTGGGTTATCCTTTCTGCTTTGGCTTTCTTTCCTTCTGTTTAGTTCCCCTGAAATAGACATTCTAGATGAAATGGTCAAAATCCCGCATCATCTGCCGGATGTGGTGGCGCATACCTGTGATACCAGTGGCTTGGGAGGCTGAGGCAGGAGGATTGTGAGTTCAAAGCCAGCCTCAGTAGTGAGGCCCTAAGCAACTCAGTGATACCCTGTCTTTAAATAAAATATTATAAAAAAGGGCTGGGGATGCGGCTCAGTGATGAAGTGCCCCTAGGTTCAATCCCCACTACCAAAAAACAAAAACAAACAACAACAAAAAAAAACTCAAAACAGTATTACATCATCCACTCATACTTTGTGCTTCTACCCTGGAGGGGCAACATTTCCAAACTCTTCAGGTTGGAATGCTCTCTTTCAAGGAACTCTTGGAAGTATCTTGGAAGAGATATTCCCTAGGCAGTAGTGTTGGGTTTTTTGGTTGTTTTGTTTTTCTTGTCTCCAGTGGAAGGAGGGAAAACACACACACACACACACACACACACACACACACACACACACAATTTTGGGAGGTGTTAGGTGCCAGGCAGTTGGCATATCACCTTATTGAAGATGCAGTTCTGCTAGGCAGATATTGTTAATCTTATTTTATAGATACGGTCCCCTAAACCCAGAGAGGTGAAAAGTCACTTGGCCTGAAGTAAGAGATGGGATTCAGACAGATTTTTCTTTCCCAAATCTGTGCTTCTCTCACCATCCCATGTTCTGTCCTTTCCAAAAAGAAAAAAAAATCGCTCCTAAGTTTCTTCAAATTTCCTTTCCAGAACAGTTGAGTATTTGTAAATATGTGGGCAGCTGAACTCTCTTTCACCAGAAGAGACAGGAAGAGCAGCTCCTCACTCCAGGAGACAGGGTCCCCTGCAGCCGCTGGCAGGCAAGGGCGGGTCCCGTTCTGTCCCCTCCTAGCTGCACTGCTGTGCTTCCCCACTTTATGATTTTCCAGCCTCTGTGCCAAGGGCTTTAACAGGCAGGTAGGGAGAAGCCCCACTCGCCTGGCAGCCTGCCACCACCCCCAGATCTGTGGCTGGCTGTTCCTGAAAGGCCTCCACATTGAAGGCATTTTTCTCTGCAGTGAAATTTACATATCAGAGCCTTGCTGACTGAGGCAGAAATGAGGGCCCTGGGGGGGTGGGGACAGAGCCTTTGGAGGGGGCAGAGGAGGGAAGAGTTCATTTTATGACCCAGGAATAAAAACATTGTGAGTAATGAATAAAGTCCGAAAGCTATAAATCCGGGACTCCCGAGTTCAGTGTGTAACGTGTCGGAGAACAATTTAAGCCCTCGCCTCTCCTGTAGGCTAGGTGCGGTGTTGGGGCTGCCTTTCACAGCCCGAATTTCATTAAATGGGCTTTTAAAGGTTAGGATTACAAGAAGCCAAGTCCGGCTGGTTCATAATGATGATTTATGGCGGTGTTGCTGACTCCCCGACCCTTCTGTACAAGGGGATAGAGAAAATACATAATTTGTTGCTCATTAACTCCAAAAATCTGTCAGGGCTGCCCCAGAAGCCATGTGGTCCTGGAGTCATGTGTCTGCTAAATGGCTTCAGCCTGGCCCTGTCCTCAAACGCCATGGCTGTTCTTCCCGTGGAAAATGGTTTTCATAACATTAGAAATAATAAACAGAGAATACCTGGACTTTTCCTCTTAACTCCACCATTGACAAGCCTCACATCCTTCAGATCTACCCAGTGCTTAGACTGGATTGCAAACCAAATGAAACTCAAGTGCAGAAGAACTCTTAGTAATAAGAGACTGCCATCAATGTCCTCAGGAACCCAAGGTGCCAGGAGATGCGCTCCTTTTTTACCTCTTTATCTCCCCCAGGAGAGGAGAAAGGGTTTTAATTCACAATTCACTCTTTGAAGACTGAGGCTGTGACGAGGGAAGTTGTAGAATGATGGGAGTTTAGAGCTGGGGACAGCCCTTGAATTGTCATTGATCCCTTCTCCCTGAGGTGACTGAAGCGGAGAAGTGACTCACCTGAGATTAATCGTGAGTGCATGTGAGATGTCAAGGCGCCATCTGAACCCACGTGTCCTCTCTCAGCCTCAAGCTGCAAATCCTCCTGGTGGCTGCTCAAGCAAGCCGCTGAGAAACAGTTTCCTCATCTGAGCCAGCAGCTTGGTTCTGGGAACTCGGGAGCAATCCTGGGGCAGGGGTGGTGTCCGGGCTGTGGTTCTGTTTTCCTGCCTGTGCTGTTATTCATAAGCAACCTTCCTCTGCTGTGGTATTACCTCTGCCTGGTTTGGGAAGCTTGTGGTGGAGGGAGGCCCGGAGAGTTGAGAATGAATGTCACTGCGGTGATGAGGGGATAAGTCATGGAATCCAGTGCCATGATCCTGCAAACGAAGAACCTGATACCCTGAATTCACTCAAGGAGTGGGGACACCACCCCTGGCCACTTGACTCCTTCAGGGTTCTTGCGGTGCATATAAGACACGTGAGGATGATTTATCAATAAAGAAGAATGAGAAGGTAGGGGAACATGATTGTGGAAATCAACATCTGGAACTCGTTAGCCTGTAAGGTTACATAGGGTAAAAGTGTAAACAGGTTCAAAAGGGGGTTAGATCATGAAYGGTAGGAAAGAATGCTGGACAGGGAGTCAGTGCACCTGGGTCTAATCTTTAGATGTGAGTTAATTTGGACCTCAGTTTCTTCTGAACATAATGGTCCCTTTCATTTCTGACTTGCCATGCTTCTCTGGTTTTAATCTTTGCAACGTGTTATCAAAGGGCCCTTGGTAATGTGCAGGGGGTATTTCCAGTTTCTCAGAGAGGAGCTCTATAGGACTCTCCTCTCCTCCCTTTCATTCACTCCTTCAGTGACAGCCTGTGAGCACTTTGCAGGGTTAGATATGAGTTGTCCTGTCTCAGGGGATGGCTAGGCCAGGATGCTGGTTGGACTGGCCTCTGCCCATGTCCCCGTCACAGAGAATCACACTCAACATGACCTGGGAAAACAAAGTYGCGCTTACAGATCCCACCCATGTATCAGCACAGCCTCTCTGTGCCAGCGTTTGCAGTGGCAGTTACTGTTCTCACTTCTGCACCTGCCGGTCCCTGGGACCAGCTGGTGTTTCCGTCCTACATGCTGCTTTCTTTCCACAGACTTTGGGGCCCTTGAAGACCTTGATCAGACCTCATGACACCTTCCCCCCAGTGTAAAAACCTAACGGGAGCCTTTGCAAAGGAGTGCCCGGATATGCCAGTCTATTGCTTCCCTTGTGGTCATGAGCGGCTCTCTACTGGCTGAAAGGGCAAGTGTGGCCCTGGGAGGAAGTGGGAAAGGATCTCTTGTGGTGAGCGATGAGTTGACCAGTGTTGTCCTYGGGCTGTGGTTGCAACCAGGAAGTGGCCACAGCTGTGCTGTGGAGTTAAGGGGAGCAGGCTGTGTGGTGTGCATCAGCAACGTCAAATAGGTCCTCGATAGACAGACCTATGCACATTCACCTTACTGAGCAGAGCTGCCCCGGTGTTGCACGGAAGACCAGGCGGTTTCAGGCAAGTAGCAGACACCGTGGGACAGAGGAAGGTGTGCAAATTTAGACACACTTGCTGACCTTTTCGACCTGAGGAGACAACACAGGCTGACTCAGAGACATTCATGAGCATCAAAGGCATCGTACTGAAAGTCTCTTGATTTTTAGACTGGTGCTCCTTTTGCCATACCATACTTCTGAACAGTAAAATAAAAGCATCCCTTTCTATAACTTGGTGCATTTCCCATCCATATTATTATTAACCCATTGTTATTGTGAACCCACTGCTCTGCAAAAGTGAGAGCATTCTTTCATGGAGAAGGGCTGAGATTCAGGGAGGTTAAGTTAGTGCTAAGGACACCAGGCAGGTGGTAGAGCCTGGATTTAGCCTCAGGACCTGCCTGTGGGGTACTCACTGCAGGAAACCCCCACCACAGTATGATGTTGGCACTGGGGCTCAGGCCCTGAGCAGAGTCAGTGCTGTTGGTGACACTTCACTCCAAATCCCAGAGACTTCCGAATCTTCAGGTCCCCTGACATTCTGGCCACCCTGAACCATGTCCTTGATTCTTCATTTACTTCTTTTTTTCTGTAGCAGAGCCCTTGTCTGTCTCTCTCTCTCTCTCTCTCTCTCTCTCTCTCTCTCTCTCTCTMACACACACACACACAATTTTCCTGCCTTAACCTCTCGAGTCATTGAGATTTTCTCAAATACATATTTGATTATAAATGTTTTCTTGTTACAAAGTGTTATGTGACCATGTAAGACTTTATTTTTTTAGATATTTTTATTAGTTATTGATGAATCTTCATTTATTTATTTGTTGATATGTGGTGCTGAGAATTGAACCCAGTGCCTCACATATGCTAGGCAAGTGCTCTACCACTGAGCCACAGCCCCAGCCCCATGTAAGACTTTAAAAAAAAAAAAGGAAATAATGATCATCAGTGTGATTATTCCTCTGGTGCATATTTGTGTTTACATACTTCTTACATAGAAAATTRGGCTTTTATAGATTATAACGGGTATGTAAATACTGAATATTCTCCTATGTCATTCAATACTCTTTACACCATCCATTTTGAAGATGGGTCTTCRCAGTGCCTAATCTGCTTCTTGTTTCCCTTTAGATCATCACAGGAGAATTCTACCGGATCTACTACCTGAAGGAGAAGTCTCGGTCAGCAGTTCAGAATCCCTACGTGGCAGCCCTCTATAAGCAAGTGGGCTGCTTCCTCTTTGGCTGTGCCATCAGCCAGTCCTTCACAGACATTGCCAAAGTGTCCATAGGACGTCTGCGCCCTCACTTCTTGAGTGTCTGCAATCCCGACTTCAGCCAGATCAACTGCTCCGAGGGCTACATTCAGAGCTACAGATGCAGAGGCGATGACAGCAAGGTGCAGGAAGCCAGGTGAGGCGCCACGTCAGCATTCCCAGTGGCCACAGCGTGCACCCCTTCAATGCAGAGCAGTTCACAGAGCACCCACTGAGTACCTGTAATGCTGGGCTCTGGTTTCGATGGATGAATAAGGGCCCAGACCCTATTCTTGCAGGATTCAAGATTGAGTCACATGATTGAGACAGATATGTAAAGAAACCATTATGATACAGCATTTGCTAAGTCCATTCATTTATTCTTTCTTTTATTTATTCATGCGTGCCTGCTATGTTCCAGGCATGTGTCCAAAGCACCACCACAGATGCAAGAATGAACAAGACACAGTGCCTGCTCTCAAGGTCACAGTCTAGGGAGGGAAGACAGACAAGCGAGTATCAGGGATGTGAATATGCCCTTTCATGGCCCTTTCTTGCTCTTGCAGGAAGTCCTTCTTCTCTGGCCACGCCTCCTTCTCCATGTACACTATGCTGTATCTGGTGGTAAGTACCTACCCTCTGATTAGCACCGAGTCCAGTCCTGGCTTGAATCCCTCAGAATCATTAGGGACAGACTTCACTGTGAAGTCCTGGAAAGAGAGGTTTGCTAGGAAAGTTAGGTTTTATTCTGGGCTTGGCCACTGCCTGAGCAGAAGTTATTTATTTTCCAGGCTTCTTCCACTTTTCACACAAAAATAGCATCTGCCATCTTTCTTGGTAAGGATTGTGAATCCATTTTGAAATTATAAAGCGATGAAGACACTCATATGCTTTCATGGTACAAGCCCTGCTTTCTGGAAATCCATTAACTCATTTGATCCTTAGAAAATAACCTTATGTTATAAATAATATTCTCTCTGTTGTGGGAAAAGATGACTAAGTCAGGCTCGGAGAATCCACCAAAATTTGCATAAACACCAGGACAGCTGCTCAAATCCAAGCCTTGTGATCCAGCTCCTCCCAATATTCCCTATATCAGTTCTCCATCCTCCTTAAAGATCATCATCATCATCTGACCACAGAGAGTGGTTTTGAGTTTTACAAGCATCGTTGAGGACACCGGGCCTCCTCACCACACTGTCAAGTACAGAATCCTTATCCCTATTTCTTGAATCCAGAGATGAAGGTCCAGAGAGACCAAGGAGCACATTTGAGATTCTTCAGCCAGGGGTGGAGCCATAGTTTGAATTCACAAGCTGCCCTGATTTCCTGGGATACCTGGGCGGTATAGGAGGAGCACCGTCCTCTCCCCCAGCTGCCTGACAGCAGGCTGTTTGTTTTTCTTTGTCAGTTAAGTTTGGTTTTCTCTGCCTTTCCTCTCTCCTCAATGAGGTCTGTGTGCCAGGGCACTTCCTGCTTCCAGCTGCCTTGGTGGAGTTCAGAGCCAGAAGGTGCTGAGAAGTCAGAGCGCTCGGAAGAGCATTAGCTGTTTGGAAAAAGATCGTTTTAATTTCAACTTATTTAAAAAGCATAATTAGGAATTGGAAAAACACAACAGAGAGATTGTCTTGTTCTCTTTTGCTTCCCCCTGTGATCCCCACTCCTTTCCAAGCCTGGAAGCCCTGGATTTCAGGTACCTAGGATACAGAGCTTAAAGGTGGCCCCAACCTGTGAAAACATTACCCTTGGATCTTTTATTCATGAATAGCACTTCGTTCCATTCTTTTTGTTTGTTGGTTTGTTTTTGTTTTGCCTTTAGAAAGGATAATTTAGCAAAGATATTTATGTTCCTGCTGCATGTGTATATTTTACCCAGAGCTGGAAGCAATTTTACAAATGTAATTTCAGTGTTTTGTAAAAGTGCTTAGAAGAGTTGGGTATGGGTTCATTTTTTTTTTTTTAATGTTCCTTCATTTTATTCCAAGAGAAAAACTTTGGATCATTTTGAAGCCAACACGGGGCAGGATGTCCTTTACAGCTGCCCCAAAGGTGAAGATGATGTTTTGGGGGAGCCTATTTTGGGGGCTCCCATCACCCGGGACTGTATCTAGCTTATATGGTAACATGCTGTCAGGAGTCTGATGAGATGTGTTTTGATTTTCCTTTTTCTGGAAACAAAGAAACCCAAATCTAAGAAGTAACAAAATTCTGCAGCCGGTAAGAGACAGAAAAGCTACCTGAAGTTTAGTCTTGAAATGACTCCACATTGTGGTCTACTCTTTCCATTATGTTGTGCTACAGAAACCCAAACCAAACACAGACAAATCTCGTCAGGATAAGCTTGGGGAAGATAACCTCTTGATCCTAACTCCAGTTTCCACTGAAGGAGACTTGCCTTTCTACACAACTGCTTTAATGGTTGAGACGTCCCTACCCTCTCCACCAGGCCCATGTACCCCACTCCACCATCACCCCTTTACCAGCTGAGGTTATGGCAAAGAGACTCTGTATAAATCATGAGTGAGGAGTGATTTTCTGTCTTCTTCTTTCACCTCTTCCTCTTTCTTTTCTTCCCCTTCCCCTTCCCCTTCTACTTTTCTTTCTTCTCCTTTTTTATTCTTTTCTTTTCTGTATTGGGAATTGAACCCAGAGGCACTCTACCACTGAGCTCCATCCCCAGCCCATTTTATTTTTTTTATTTTGAGAAAGGGTCTCCCTAAGTTGCTGAGGCTGGTCTCTCTAACCTGTGATCCTTATGCCTCAGCCTCCAGAATTGCTGGGATTACATGCATATGCCACCGTGCCCAGCTATAAGGAGTGACTTGAAGAATTATTTGCATCTCTCTGAGGGAGGAAAAAATCCTGACACCTTCCTATTGTTTGAAGGTAACAAGGAAGGAAGGAAGGAAGGAAGGAAGGAAGGAAGGAAGGGAGGGAGAGAGGGAGGGAGGGAAGAGAGAGGGAAAATGAGATGAGACCCTGATCCCTCATCTCCTAAGCCTTTTATCACTCCTCCCACAGTGCACACTCTTAGCAACTCTTGGGAACATGTACCCATTCAACATTTACAGCCCTCAGATGCCACAGTCTGGCTGGGCACAAAATCACGAGCCACTCAAGCAGGAACAAACTTTATTTCCAAAACTCCCGCGAACCACACATACCTGGCCTTCTCCCGGGACACACCACCCCAACCCCAACCTGCCATCCTCCAGAAATCCCTCCTACCGCACTTCCCCAACCAATGGGAACTCTCCGGGAGTCGTGTGTGTGTGTGTGTGTGTGTGTGTGTGTGTGTGTGTGTGTGTGTGAGAGAGAGAGAGAGAGAGAGAGAGAGAGAGAGAGATCCAAAGTAGCAGGCTGAGGGGGCAGCAGGGGTCTAATCTCCAATTGAATGCACATCTTAACATAATCATTATCATCTCAATGGCGTCACCTTTCAACCAGAAATGCCATGCGTCATTCCTAAAAGCTATGGCTCTTAGCACTCAGACACCCACATGTACAAGTCCCTACACACAACTCGTTTTTACCTGTAAAGTCACCTTGGCCTGAAACAACCTCTGAAGCAAAAGGCTAAAGATGAGAGTGGTGCTGTTTGCCAGGGTGATGTGACACAGAAACCTCATCCCTTATAATAACCAATTTGCAAAGTTTTGTAAAGAAAGTTCCAAGACACTATAGCTGCCTGTCAGAGGAGGCAGGAGATCCTGCAGTCAGTTAGAGAAGCCCTTCCACCCTCCCTGATGCTTTTATGTTGTGTTTCAGGAAGTGCAGGAGTTGGGCAAATGGACCCTGGCCTCCTCCAGTAAGCCCTATGCTTTTGCTAATGTGACCTTGAAGGGTTGGGAGACCACTTCTGAACATACAGGGAGAATCCAACAGGCATTACTATAGAACCAGGAACCAGAAGCGGGGGATTAGCGTAGAGACTCGGTGTACTCATCTATCAAGTGGAGATTGTCCTGTCTGTTCCACAGCGTTCTTGCCACTTTTCCTACCTGGACTTTCACTTTCCTCATCTGTCAAATGAAAGAGTGGGATTAGATGATGTCTACACATCTCATCTAAACATCTCTGTGGTTCTACTAGAAAGAGTTTTTTTTTTTTTTTTTTTTGGTCTGTGTGTAGTGCTAGGGCTTGAACCCAGGGCCTTGTGCATGTAAGGCAAGCACTCTATCAACTGTGTCCACTTGCAAGAGTTTTGAAATGCTCTCTGTGTTAAAAAAAGAAGATGGGAAGCTCTCAGGGACAAACGGCCCCACTCCTGCAGCTGCCATCTATGGCCTCCCTGGCTTTGAAGGGCACTCCATATTAGGTTTTGATTGGCAAAATGGGTAGCTTGGAAAAACCATGCCCCAAACACCAAATTATATCTGGGAAGCTTAAGGATGAGGTTAAGGTTTGTTAGATATTAATGCGAATTCGAATATGAAAAATCCCACAGCATCTATAAGCATAAACTTTGCTTCCTACCTCTGAGCCTTGGCCTGCACCCCAGGGGACCACATCTGGATTGGTTCTGCACCTCTATGTTTAGGGGTTGAGGATGACTTGGCTGTCTGGATAAACTACAGGRCAAATCCCAAATCGTGTCGCACACCTGGTGTCTCCTCTTGTGCCAGGTGCTCTGCTACCTTCCGGGGTTACTGAGATGAATCAGACCCGGGCCCTGCCCTCAAGGAACTCACCTATTCATTGAACATTCATGATTTGCCAAGTGTTTAGTGAGTGACTATTATGCACCAAGCACCATGATAGGAGTGGGGAGATGGAGATTAGTAAGGAGCTGTCAGCCCTTGGAGAGTTCAGACTGGAGGCGTAGGTAGACAATAGCAGTCTGATGCATTGTGCAGAAGGGGCAAGGGGATGTGTACTTTATCGTGGGAATTGTGGCATCCGTGCTAACCTGGAACGGCAGGTGGCACAAGCCAAGGAAGGCTTCTGGTAGGGTTGGTCCCATGAAGACAGGAGACATTAGAAGAACTTCCTGTGTGCAGGTGAAAGGGGGATAGTGATTTGGGGGATGGGCTTTGATGGCTGGAAGGACACAGGGAGTGGAAGGCACACTTGAGAGTTGATCGCCAGCCTTTGGGATCTTCTGTCCCAGCTCCTTCTTTTGTAGCAAATTTGTGTCGAGGCCTTTCCCCAGCTGCTCTGTTTCTCCCTCTAAGTCTGTCCCTTACCCCTTGCCTTTCTTAGGTCACTTTTTCAGAGAACTTTACCCGACCACACTGTTTAAAGTGACAGCCCCATCCTCCTTTGTAGCCTTATTTTTTTACCTCTCAGTGTCTAACCAGCTACCTATTATATATTCATTTGCTTGTTTGTCTCACCTAAATTGTAAGTTCTACTAGGGAGAACATTCTTTGTCTTTTTTTAAAAAAATATTTATTTTTTAGTTGGACACAATATCTTTTATTTCACATTTATGTGGTGCTGAGGATTGAACCCAGTGCCTCGTGCATGCTAGGCGAGTGCTCTACCACTGAGCCACCACCCCAGCCCCATTTTTTGTCTTTTGAGTCACTATTGCATCCCACTCCCCAAAGCAGTTAAGTACGCAATGAACATTACATGAAGGAATGAGTGAATCCCAGGCCGTCTGATGCTCGAGGTTGTGC